ATATTGGATAGTATAGTGTAGTGTAGTGCAGTGTAGTGTAGTATAGTGTAGTATAGTATAGTATAGTGTTATGGGATGGAAGTCCTTGGGGAGCTTATCAGGTAATTTGTAATGTTTTTGTTAAAGATGCAGTCTATCAAGCTAAGTATTTAATTTTTTTATTAATTTTTAATAAATAGATGTTTGCCTTTTGCAGTGGTTGTGTATACAGTTCAGTACAAAACTTGGCATATTTGCGAGAGTAGAGGTTCAACCATGCCCATTTTGTTAGATGAGTCCAAGGATTGGGATAGGATAGGATTGGGAGATAGGGCCCAGTCAGTGAAAACAAAACAAAACAAAACAAGACGAAAGGAAGGGAAGGGAAGGGAAGGGAAACAAAAAGAGACGAGACGAGACGAGACGAGAGGGCAGCAACAGCGAATTATCCATTCGAGAAGTGAAGAGAGAAGACAAGCACGAGCACGAGCGCAGTTAGGTTGAGTTGACATTTGCTTCAAAATCTGTCAACGAACAGCAAATTTCGAAAAAACAGCTCAAAGGCAGCGCCGGCCGGAGAAAGAACAAGCAGTGTGCGTGAGTGTCTCTGTGTGTGTAAGTTTTTTATTTTAATTTATGCAACACGACACGATGGGCATCGCGCCGAGAAGAGGGGAGGGGAGGGGGTGGAAGAAGAAGGGGGGAGTTTTTTGTTTTGTTTTGTTTTGTTGCGTTGCGTTGTTTTCTGGTCTGCGTGGGCCCGCCGTCGGTTGTGGCCCGTTAAAATGTCTGTGTTTGTGTTTGTGTCTGTGTGTGTTGTCAGAAGGGGTTCTTGTGTTTGTCTCACTGGACTGTTTTTCGGTTGCTGTTTGGGCAGTAGCGTGACGCGAAGGGGGGGGTCCCTAACTAGTGCAACTGGAAAGGGTGTCTCTCGTGTGAAGGCATACATCTCATTGCGGTGATGGACGATAAACAATCACTACAATATCAATAACAACAACAATTGGACCACAATCTCACAACCGCTTGAAACTTTGTTTGGTTAGGGTGATCGTCTCTGTGACTACAACGGAGAAACAAGACACACAAGAGAGGGAATTAATAATTTATTATTGATTGAGTGATTGAGTGATTGATTCGAAGTCGGGTTTTATCTTCTACCTATCCCCTTCCCCTTCCCCTTCGCATCGTCCCAAACGGTGCTCTATCCATCGTTGGCTGCCTTTTAAAGTTTTAAATTAAACTTGAATTCGTACTAGTAGTATATCTTATGTTATGTTATGTTATGTTATGTTATGTTATGTTATGTTATGTTATGTTATGTTATGTTATGTACCGTATAAAAATTAAAATTTATACAAATCTACTCAACTCATTTCATTAGGACTTAGATTTAGATTTAGATTTAGATTGAGATACTGCTTTCCTACATATATTGCATTGTGGTCGGCTATATGAGACTTTTTATTTTCTGTCTTGTCCCTCTTCTCTCCCCTTCTCTAATAACGTATCGTAACTTTATAATTCTTATCGTTGTTATTATCCCAGTACTCCCTCATGGAATTATCGTTCTCTACTCCAGATACAAAATGAATGCAGAATTCTAAACTGTTATGTGCGTCTTCATACAAATTGCATGTCTCAATAATAAATTGAAACATATCCATATTAGTACTGGGTAATATCGAATCTCCAGTTCCTATATATTGCGCTTGCATGTCGTGATACGTGACCCAATTGTTCCAGGTATACCGTATCTTTACCACTTTCTGATAATGGAAATTCTTCACAAGGACTCTGCCAATTAAATATATCCCTCTTCTCTCCCTCTTCAACGTCAACTCTTCCAAAAATACTGGATCGTTATTAGCTAGCTTGATGAAAATATTCACTTTCAACCGGCTAGGTCCATTGATCGTCTCCAGCGTAGCAAAATTAGCCTTACCTAACGTCAACTCTTCTCCAGTACTAAACGTTGCTCGTCCTCTCTCAACAACACGACTCTTCTTGCTCTCTTCTTCTCTTGCTTTCTTAATCTTGTTCACCAACTCGGCTTGCATCCTCGTCTTGCGGAGCCTCTTGCTCGCATCAACCATCATCTTCGTCTTGAGGTCCTTCTCGTTATTCACACTATCATCTATCACCTGACCGCCAGCATCAACAATTCGCAACTCGTTATGATTGTCCTCATTCAATTCCAACATTTCAACATTTTGCACCATTATATCAAGTGGACTCTCATCCTTGTGGAAATACGTTATCGGTGTAGCCTGGTCGAAATGAACACTCTTACTTCTCATTAACGGCAACCGCAACGATTCCCTCTCTTCTTCTTGCGCCAACGATGATAAATTGGGCGTGCTGGGAACCGATTTAGATCTGTACTTTAATGAAGGCTTCACCAATTCCCCGGATTTCTTGTATATTGGTTCAGGTTCAAAGCCTTCGAAATCCGTCACTAACGAATTGCTTGAAGTGTCAATTTTCAATGGTTCTAATTCCGGGGTTTCAATTCTCCTTACCTCTGTTTCCTCCATTTTGTAATCCCATATTTTCTTGTTTAAATTGGTATTACGTTCCAGTTCATCAGCATCAGTTCTTTTATAACAACTATGAAAACTCTTGACTCGTTGTGGTTTATGCAAATATTGTATTGAATTCGGTACTTCTCCTTCATGCACCTCTTCACTCTTCCTGTCAATGAATCCCTTCTTCTTATTCTCTGCCTTGATATACATCACTCCTTCCTTATATATATGTATTAAAGAATCAAAAGAAAAAAAATAAAATAAATAGACAAAGAACAATTATCCTAAGTTTTTTATTCTTTTTTTCTTAAAATATTATGTACAATTCACTCTCGAACGATAAATACTCTATTACTTCGATGTGCTTTACTTTATACTTCCTTAACACTCTGATATATATCTGTTTTTTTATAATCCCATACCACCTAACAGCCTCACCTAAATCAACTTGATTACAATTCTTTAAAATGAACAATATATAACCAAGAAAAAGTAAAAATAAAAGTAAAAATAAAAATAACGTAGAATTGCGTCACACAACAGCCTATACCCAAATTAATAAAATTCACCCACTCACACCAAAACCAAGTCCAAAACCAAGTTATCTTGCATCTTCAATCAAAAAGCATAGAACTCCAACGCAATAAAATAATAAACTACAATAATCAATTACATATACATATATATATATATATATATATATATACATTCATATACACACCATACACACACTCATCTATATATATATATATGTATATATATTTATATATGTAAGTGTATATAAATATATAGAACTGTATTACTGTATGTGTGTTTGTAAGTATGTAAGTACGTATGTGTAGGTAAAATATATGGAATATTAAGAGACTTAACTATACTGTTACTTAATCATCATCACCAGAATTATACATATCATGCAATACTGAGTACACTTTTTTAGTTTCGAAAAACCGAAAAGTAAAGACATCCAGTGAGAGAAACCAGTTTAATGCCCCTTACAACTGGCAAATGAGAAGGAAACAGCTTAGCTAGATATTGAATTGGTGGGTAGCCAGTCGACTGTCGTAAATTCGGCGAATAAGAACCAACCAAGAAGAAGAGAGAGCGAGAGCACAATGTGTGTATGCTATAAGCTATAAAACCGATTAGGCAGCACCTATCTGCCCGTGATATCAAGACAGCTAATTCGATTCGATTTCGTAAGAACTTCAGAGGGGAGTAAGCCTTTAAAAAACAATAAAAGAGAGGATACCAAAGGCCTTTTTAGAGGTTTTTAGAAGATGTTTACGAGAGGATGAGGATTGAGGATTGAGGACGAGGGGGGAAGCAGAGAGAGAGAGAGAGAGAGAGAGAGGAAGATGATATGGATTGTTGGGATGGAGGGATGGAGGAAAAGGAAGGATGGGGGGTTAGACGAGGATGGTAAGGCCAGTCAATGCTTGATGGGTGGCTCGGGGGCCATCACCTAAGGAAGTATATTTTAATGGTTTCATCTTCAAGGTTAATATGTTGGTGTTAATGTTATTGTACATTGATGTTAACATTATTCTGCAATTTTTTTTTTTTGCTTGGATTGTTAATGAAGAATAATATATTGTTGTATATACTAATGAAGAAGAAAGTATTTAAAAAATGTGTATGTAAAAGAAATATTTGTATAGTTTTGAAAGGGCAGTGCTAGTTTGTAGTATAGCGTTATGAGGTTTGGGATGGCATCGTTTCGATTCGAATCCATTTAATTTGAGATAGTGCGTGTGCATATACATGTACGTACGTACCTACGTCCTCTTGTATGAGTGTCATATTATTATTATCATGGCGATAATTTAATAGTAACAAAGATTTATATTTTCCTTCTTTTTTATTTTTTTTAATTAACTTCGTACAATATTAAATTCTTGATGTGTGTGTACCTTCAATGGGGTTGATGCTTATGGTAATGTGTCTCCATCAAACCTGAACATCTTAACACATCCAAGTTCATCGCCACAGAAAAATTCAGAATCTCCAATTCCTACGCAGGCAATAGGGGGTGCTGTAGTAGATTTATTGGTATTCGTTGCTGCCGTATTGACAACTTCGTTATTTGAGGAGGTATCGTTACTATTATTATTACCTGAATTTGTTACATGCGTAACGGAATGTTCAGAAAATTTACCACCTGCAAATGTATGCATGCATTTACCACTTTGTAAGTCCCATATTTTAATTGTACCATCATGAGAACCACTTATAATACGAAAATTATCCGCAGCAATGTCCCAAACCCCTTCTACATGACCGAATTGTGTACGAATGCAGTTGCCTGTCTTGACATCCCATAATTTAATTGTATTATCTAAAGAGCATGACAATAAATGTGTAGGATACGGTAAACTTTCATCTAACTTGACATTTTCACTAGTATCTTCTTCGTCGTTAGATTCTTGTGTTTCACTACTACTTAAGTTATCAGGCACTTGATCAACTACTAAATTCTCCACATCTAAAATAGTTAGTGGAATAACTTTTTGAACTTGGCCAACATGTCCTCTAAACACTTTTAAACATGAGTTAGATCTGATATCCCACATCCTAATTGTAGTGTCATCACTGCAACTAAAACACGAGAAACTCTTTGGATGTAATTTAACACAGTTAACCCATTCTGTATGCCCTCTCAATGTATAGCAGGCTCTAGATTCAATATGCCAAACTTTAACCGTTTTATCTGCACTACCAGAAACAATAATTTTCTTATATGAATCAATACTCATAACACTATCAGTATGCCCTCTGTATGTGGAAATACATTCACCTGTAACATAATTCCAAACTCTAATAGTCTTGTCCAAAGATCCAGTGATTAATTTTTGATCGTCAAAATGTAACGTTTTTACACCATCTCCATTACCTGTCAGTCTTCTTAACAGTTTGCCAGTACTTAGATCCCAAATGGCAATTGTGGAATCGTATGAACCCGTGAATAGAAGACGGTAATTGAATTGTAAAGTTAAAACACCATCCATATGACCTTTGAATTCCTGTAATATGAAATTTCCCTTTCTCCAGTTATATTCAACCTTGTACCTTTCTCTATAAATTACCTTCCATGGTTTAGTTTTACATGGTACGGGCTGGTTACCTTCATCATAATTGCTATGACTATTATTGTTATTTTTATTATTTTTATTATTAATACTATGATTATTATGATTATGATTAATATTACTATGACTATGATTGGTATTATTACTAATATCCTCTATGCTGTTTTGTGCATTTGAAGTACCTGATGGTTGAACTTCCACAATGCCATTATGCTGATTAATATTGGTTCTGGGAGGCATACACCTTGCTCTTTTCATATGCAACAAGGGCAACCCCCACCCACAGTTCGGACATTTCCTATCAATATGCTGTTCGCAGAGTCGATACCATACCCTATCATCATCTGCCAAATTTTTCCAGCTTCGACAAACAATTGCGGCATTACAAAGAGATTGGCAATCTAGATAGCTGAGTATCTTCAGTGAAATCTCTTGCGGCAACGTGGAAATGAAATCAATCTTAATCATATTGGAAACCTGCGACATGACATAAGATAATTGTGGGAAACAACTTGATGCTAAAAGGCCATCGAATATTAGCTTCCTTAATTTATCATTTGATTTAGTAAACACAGAAATAATATTGTGAACATCCGATTGTTCTTGCCTATTTAACTTGGATATCCTATCATTGAAATCAGAAAACCGTTTCAGATCTTGTTTATAACAAAGTTTCTTCGTAGGTGAACTTTTATTTTCAGGATTATGTCTGTAACAAAACCTAGTAAAATTATACTGGGGTGGTTTTAACAATTCTCCTTTACTATGGTTTGAATCCGGAGCTTTTCTCTTCCTCGACATCATCTCATCGTGATTGTCACCCTTATCTATATCCTTCCCCATCCAAAATCACCTATATTTAAAGACCTATTATTAATATATGTATATATAATTCTTGATGTAGCTGCTTATCTCCCTCCCTGTATACTCCAGTTAAACGTTTTAATATGAACACTCTTCAAAATCAAAGTCCTTGCTGGCTAAAGAATGATCTATTAACCCAAAATATATTATAAAAAGCTTAAGAATAACGAAAAACCTAAAAATTTAAATCAAAAAAATAAAAAATACAGTAACCAAAGCACACTGTTTTCCAACCTTCTCCAAATAAAATCAAGACCAATATCACCCGTTCTTCCAATACTTTTAAACTACAAATTGTTCATCTTAATCTTATATATATTTTATTTATATGGATATGTTTTATAAAAATATATCCCAATCCATACATTAAAGAAAAATATCGATATCTGTTTGTTGCCTTTAATTTTTTATTAAATTTCCACAAATTTCATCCCGTAATGATATCAGCAAGGCACTGTGGATTTTAGAGAAATTCACGTGACTAGGATCAAGTAATGGGAACAGGCAGACAGACAGAAGCAATTAGAAGGTGGGATGAGATGAGATGAGATGAGATGAGATGAGGATGGGATGGGATGGGATGAAATAGGATGGAATAGGATGAGGTATATTACAGGATTAGATAGAGGGTATTTGCCGTTTCTGTTAAGGGTGATGACGTTGAGAATGGGTATATACAATTTATTAGATATCAGTTAGTGTTATATATGTATCTATCGATAGGTGTGCGTGAACATGTATATGGGTTCATATAGTGTCCATCTAGGTTTACTTTCTAATGTGATGGTGGTGGTGGTGGTGGAGGAGTATTAATAGAAAAGGGAAGTTCATTAACAATGTTCGTTAAGATTATTCAGTATATGCGCCCTAATCACATCGATCTTTAGATGCACATTACCCGGAATTGCCGAACTTTGAAAAATATTTCGAATCGACTTTCGAATATTTAAACGTGGATCTGATTTGATTAAAATGGTTTAGTTTTATTCCAATTATTGTTGTCTATTTCATTTTAAAAGGTTTCAAAAGGGTAAGAAAACCATTTAAGTAGATTGTAAACAATCACAGACTAATAGGATTGGACATTTTCCAGATGGAAAACTGCATACAATGAAATAAATCGAACATTCTTTAAATAATTATTTTTTTTTCAAAGTGAATGTGAACGTGAATGTAAAAGTTTGATTCAAACTTTTATTCTTATTGTTGCAGCCATTCTTAATCCAAGTAGGTGATTTGTAGGATATCACTTGATGTACATGCTACCTCTTCCTTTTGTAGATATTTGAATGATGATATGAATGGTTCAGAATTGAAAAAAAAAACATCCAAGAGATTGAGTGTTTTACGTGTTGAGACAAATTATACCGTTTACTCAGAACCGCTACACTGATTTTATCTATACATTTCATTCTTCTTCAAGTTATAATTAATTGCATGGAGATAGATTGAAAGAATTGGAAGACATGGGAGGGAGTCACTTCTTGTTGAACGTACTAACTAAATTATGTAATATTTGAATTTATGTTCTTGTATCGTATGCATATCACGTGATAGTATCGATCCATAATAATTACTATAGTTACTATACTTGTTGCTTATTTACTATGTATATGTATATTTTATTCCCACATGAAAAATCGTTATCGATTGGAGAGCTTTCCAAGATCTCTATTTCTTTTTTTCGGTTTTACCTTCTGATGAAGTTTTACGTCTTCTTGCACCTTCTCTTGCCCAAAACTCGTCTCTATAAATTTCCCAGCCTTCTCGTATCTCTGAACTGAAAGCTCTTGGGTTCAACACTAATTTAACATCAACTGCTCCAACTCTTGGTTGTGATCGTATTTTAACATTTTTAAAAAATCTGGTCATGAAATTAGTTTCTTTACAATAAAATACACTTCTTAATGTATACAGTGCAATTCTTGCAATTAATCGACAGAGATATCTGATAATATCGATTATATAATCATTAATACTGTTCTCAACTTTTACTACTTTAACATTGAATTGTCTAATGCCCTTATTAGTTATATTAAAAAATTTCCTTGGTATTACAATGGTTCTTCTATATTCACCACTAAGATGGAATAAAACAAACGTCACTACTATAAATATGATCCCCATCTTCAAAACCGATCGCGGTAGTCCCTTCCTACTACTTTCAAACCTTTCATTATCAAAATATAATGCATAGATCGAATAAGTTGCAATGGCAAATAAAAATGTCAAAAATATTGTAAACTTCCATTTCAATATTTTTTGTTCTCTAGCTTGCCTTCTTAAATCATCCTCCAATATTAGTAAATTCCTAAATATCATAGAAGCTGGAGAAATATCATTACTAGTCTTGATATTACCCCGTCCACTTGAAGCTTTACTATTAGATCTTTTACGAACTGTATTCTTACTAGGAGTGAGGTACCCATCTAAATTCGAAGTCACCAAAACTTCCTTCTCCATATTATAAATATATCTCTATGTATATGTACAGAACTTCGACTCTTCTAGACTTTTCAAGAACCCAAATCAAAAATAAACCAAAACAAATCAAAAACCCCACAACCAATAACTACTCAACAACACTACAATGCGTCAACACCAACTTAATATATCTATCCTTTACAGAACTTAGATCAAAAATCCTTACAACAATTAAAATCAACCAATTCCAATTTCGATATCTTAAACGTCCTGGCTTCTTATAACATTAATTTTATATAAAATCGTTTGATGTCCGAAATGATATCAATTTTTCATATATTCGAAAAGTATCATCAACATCTCATCGATATAAGATACTAGTGCAAGGGTCAAGATATTTATTAGTATAGTTATATAGTTTTCAATTATCAATTGATTGTTAAGGGTCAGGTCAAGGTTAAACAATTTGTAATTTCTCTTTGTTTCTTTGTCCTTTTCAATCTTCTGATTTTAATTGAGGTAAAATTGCAAACTATTGAGAGTACAACTTTTGTTTTAGTATTATTCTTTTTGTATAATGATAGAATACATGAATTATGTCATAAAATCCTTACAATCTAACAATGATTACGAGCATTTGACTTTATCTTCAAGATCCTTATTGAATTTTAAAATACCCAATGCATTTAAGTTTCAATTGTCTAATAAATCAACTCCTTATACTTACAATACCATTGATATTTCGACGAATAAAGTTATAAATGGATCCATTACATACCTTTATACAGATGCAAAGGGATTAGATAAATTGATAAAAGATTCGCATAATATAAACATCCAATCAATTGTGGAAACTTATAATCATCATTGTAAAACTTTAAATATTAATAAACAGAATGTAGATTTTAAGTCATTATATTATGGAAGGATGTATTATCCAAATTCTCATCTAGAAGGTATGATTATTAAAAAATTTACTACCAACACTCAAGTGGTATTGAAATGGGTAAGTAGTTTCAATAGTTGCAATATAATTACTGGGTATTTCCAAAAATATGGGAAAAGAAATTTTCAAGAGTTAATTGTATCATCAAATGACTTCTTATGTGGTTATAGATTTTTACATAATTTCATTGAACAGCCATCCAAGTTGAATAATTCCCTTTACAATAATTCATACATTTCATTAGGTGGTGAATTTTGGTTAGCCATAAGCACTTTATCCCCCACTTGTGCTACTACCTTAAGATACTGTACACATTCTGCAACTACAGGAAGACCTTTAACTCTGACGCTATCGTTCAATCCATTATTTGGTCATTTGTCATCTACTTATTCTGCAAAGACAAGTTCAAATTCAGCATTTTGTGTTCAATACGATTTTAATTTGTATTCAATCGATTCAAATTTATCTCTTGGTTGTGAATTATGGAAACAAAATGAATTGATTCAAAATGTATCTCAAGAAAAATCTAAAAAGCAAGAAATCCAAGTTCCGCCAAATTTCTATAATAATAACTCGAATGATGCAAAGCAAAAAAGAATTTTAAATGATTTAAATACTACTTTTGAATCATCTTTAAAGAAAATAGATAAAGAAAGAGCGGTAATTGAAAATTTTGAAACTGATCTTTATAATAAGGATTTTACAAGTGTATGGAAATTTAGCACTTCATTACGTGATAAAAACTTATGCATCCTATGGGATGGAAAGTTTAAAGGGTTTCTATTATCTGCTGGTACAGAACTAATTAGAATTAATACAAATAATGAAAATAATTCTCAGAGCTTAGTTAAATTCTATCCCGCTAAATTGGGTTTACAATTACAATTTTCAACATGATTGTTGATAATAATACACATGTACATAAATATATATATATACTTGTATTACAATGAAAAATAATGAATGCCGTATTAATGAATCTTTACTGTCTCCTATGCCTTTTACTGCTCAATCCTGCCTCATATTCCACCAATTCATACCTAATATTCTCAGCCAAATCTTTGTCTTCATAACCATCCAGCTGATACCATAAATTATACCCAGTTAACCTCGTCCCAGTTTCTAAAATACTTTTCATTATATTTTGAACTTTTTCCAAGGAATCTACACTATTCATTACAATTGGTGTATATTTCTTGTGGATATCCTTTAATGTAATGGTCATAGGTGTGTACAAAGGAGTCGGACAACCTCTCTCTTCGTATACATTATATTGGTCAATGATAGTTTTCTTCTTTTCTTCATCTCTAACTCCTTTTAGTAGATCTTTTATTCTTCTATTTTTATACCTATTGATTTCTTTGCTATTATGTACCAAAATCCATGACAATATGAATTCATTTTCTTCACCCTCTACCAATTCTATAATGGCTTCCCTTGGTAATCTATATCTTGAATTAGTATATTCTTGGTATTCAAGTACTAGCTCAGAATCATCAACATATTTTAGTTGAAATGCCGTTAGCTGCATCTCCTTTTCTTCAGCCTCAACTTCTGGGTCTTTACTTTTGCGCCCTTTTCTTTTAGGTTTATCAGATTTCTTCTCAGTTCTTGATTCTGTAATCTCAGAAATATCCTTATTTTCTTCTTTGATATCTGCCGTGCTTTCTTTACTATCTGGGGAATCCTCGTCGTTCTCAGACAAGTCCTCTTCATTATCTATAAATTTTTCTTCATTTCTTGATGTTAAAACTTCTTGATTGTCATCCTCCTTAGGAACTGTCATATTATCCTTTTCAGGTATAGCAGTTCCATTTTCTTCTTCTTTAGAATTGTCACCACTATTTTTGGTGCCATTTTTATTTACTACTTCTTCAGCAGAAGTTTTTGAGTCGTTATTATTTTCAGTCTTTGAATCCGGATTTGAAGTCTGAGTCTCTGGATTAGGTTTTGCCTTAGTATCCAAACCATTCTTTTCATCTAAGTTAGACATAGCTTTTTCATCTGATACAGATACTTCATTTTCATCAGATTTAACATCCTTTGCATTGGCTTGCTTCGAATCTTTTGAATCCAATTTCATCTCTGAACCTTTCGGAGACTCCACAGCTTCCTTTGAAGTATCAGATTTTGAAGTACTTGGCTTTGATTTTGTTTCTGTAGTTAACTGAGGTTTTGGAGTTTTAACAGTTGGCGGTTTCCACCCAGGAGGAGCAGGCATATTTCTTGCTACTTCGATATAGAATTTAAACTTTTCAACTTGCTCCAATGTAGCTTCACCCTTTGCTACCTTGCTCATAAGATTGTTTAATTTTGGGTTTCTTTGGGCCATTAAATTTAAGTTTGCAATCATTTTAGGGTCATTCACTGTATTCTTTGCTGGCGTAGGTGCTTTTTTTGTTGTTGTCGAAGTTGCAGCTGGTTTTACTACCTTATTAGCAAGTGCTGCCTTCTTCAGCTTCTTCTGTTCTTCTTTAATTCTTTTTTGTTCTTCTTTCTTCTTCAATTTTAGCATTTCTTGTTCTGCTTTAACTTTTAATTTCATCTCTTTTTGCAATTGGGCCTTTTTCTCTTTCTCTTGCTTCCTTATTAGCTGTTTCTGCTTTCTTTCTTCCATCCTCTTCTTCTTTTCCTCAGCATCATTCTTCTTCTTATCCTCTTTCATTTTTTTCTTTAGATCCTGTTCTTCTTGCCATTTTATTTCTGCTTGTTCGTTTTTCAAAATGAACAATCTAGCAGGGAAAGTATGAGGCCCAGCAATCATTCTACAATCACACATTTTTTGCATTCTCTCCCTTATCATAAAATTATTCGTATCATCTTCTTTAATATTAGTTCCATCATCTTTTGTAGTTTTGATTGGTTTTGTCCAATATACTTCAAACATTTCACCATGAGTCCAAGTGTTCCTAGAAGTAATCAATGAATTATAAAGAACCCCAGAATTCTTAACTGATAAAGGATGGACAAGAGCTGAATTATATTGAGGTATTTCTGTACTGGCAGGTAAATCAGAAACAAGTTCAAATGGTCTACCTGTTACATTGTTTTTTATAGTAGTTGAATTTTGTCCATAAGTATCCAATTCCTTATCAGCGTCATCGTCATCATCATTCCCATTTCTACGTTTCCTTTTACCACGTCTTGAAACAGGACTTGGCTGCTCTTCTGCAGGTAGATCAAGTTCTTTCTTTACTCTGTTTCGTAGCTTAACAGGCATTATTTCCTTAAGTTTCTGTTCAGAATAGAAATAAATAAAAAAAAAACTATAATTAATAGAACACGAATAATAAAATCAAACCAAGCTACTTAATAACACATCCAGTAGTCCCATATAGCCTATAATCAACGTTAATCAACTGAGTTAAAGTTTGTTAAAAGGGTAAAGTATAATCAAACTAGTGTTAAATAGATGATTTCCTTGGTATTATCGATGGTATCTTAAATATTTTGAAGAAAGTTCAGTAGACATTTTCTAAACACCGGGTAACATATTTATTCTATATATAAGAAGATAAGTGAAGAGAGACATAAAACAACCAGTCAGCAGTCGAATGAACGTTTCAATAAATCAGTTCACAACAACAGTAATGAAAATCCATGCATTATATATGCTGATATTCTTAGTTGAATTACTTGACCTCTGATCAATATTGATCGCGGAATATAATTTTGGTGTCAGAATCCTATGTCAGAGTCTAAAATTTATTATTATATTATACTAGTGACACATTACTAATCAGTGAATGAATGAATGAATGTAATAAAATATTAAATTATATAATGTCTTCTTAAGTGTGAATATTATAAAGGAATGACGTAGTAATTAGAAATTTTGTTTCAATTTAACAAAACTCTTTTTCTTGTTTTTAAAATGAAAATACAACGAGAATCGAATCTCTATGGTTTATTATTAATTTATTATTACCTTTAGCTAGATAGCATATGCTATTATTGCGAATTTGAATTGGGACATTTCTCTATTTTTTCCAACATTATAAATAAAATTGGTAGAAATGTATATGCAAAAGAAAAAAAAATGATTGATAGGAACTGTCACCTGAACTCATTCATTGGTAACTTGCCAGACCTTTCTAGTATAATCTATGTCATCCGCCAGGGAAACGTTAGAATGTCCTGATTCGAAATGTGTAAATACATTAGTTGGATCTAATCTTTGGTCTACTAGAATTGGAGAGGTGTCTGATGAACTTCCATCAGAGCTCGTTCCTACATGTTTTCCAGCAGGTTTGGAGGACTCTATTAATCCTTTTTCGTTAATATAAGAGAACCGTTCTCTTGTCACATTACCACTGTTGTTCTTATTATCTGGATCCGAGGCAAATACCAGATTATTATAATCTCTTTCAAAATCTCTTTCTTTCTTTCTTGGACGCCATACAAATAACCATAGTAATACTAAGATAGCTAACAGTACTACCACACCAATTGGAACAAAAGTACCTACCACTTTTCCTGGAGAATGCCAATAACCAGTATTTTGCTTCCCATTTATAGCAGCTACAACTGATGAGGATGCAACATTCGATGAAGTAGACGATTGAGCTGATGCTTGTGTTGGGTATACTGTCGTCACCAAGATTGTTGTGACAGATGGAACTGAATAAGTATTACTCGTTATGGTCCTCACTGAGTAAACCACCGATGTAACAATAGTTGATGATGTTAAGTAACTTACATCTGACGTTGTGGTGATTTCGGAATCTGTAGATGATAATGTGTCAGAAGATGTCGACAATGTGAATGAAGAGGATTGTAACGAAGAGGTCAACGATGAAGAAGTCAAAGTCGAAGTCGATAAAGAGGAAGAAGAAGAAGATGATGATGATGATGCGGTAGAGCTTGGCATTGACACTGTCAGCAAATTAGATAAAGTTGGACCCTGGAAGAAGTGGTAGCTGTTGATCTGACAGAAGATGATAACCTCAATGAAGAAGGGCTTCCAGACCCAACATAAATATAACCAAATAAACCATTGTTTTTATTCCCACAGTTTTCTTGACCATAACCTGGACAAATTGAATTACAATTTGAAATAGGCACCGTTATAAATGGATAGCTATTACTGCACCAGCAGGAAGTGTCCTGTACAATTGCAAATTGATAGTTCATAGACCTACATCTATCTGAACACAATCCATTGCTTTGAAACTGATCATCAAATTCAGTGCTTGACGAACCAGTATTACTAGAGGCACAGTAATTCTGTGAAATGCAATAACCAAGTCTTGAACAAAGACTTAGAATTAATAATAAAAAATATAATCCTAAGAACATTACCACAGATCGGGTACTCAATTAAAGCCCAAAATACTTGATTTAAACTCTAAGAACAGTATACACATGTACGTCCACAATTGATTACAAAAGTTTTTATAATTCAAGATGCAAACAAAATCTTAAGGCACAATTACATATATATATATGTCATATAAACACACATACATAAATACACACACACACATATATATATATACGTATATAAACGATCATTTAAGTATCAGTGTCTACTTTACAAACACACCTAAATCCATAAATGTATATTCACTAATGTGCCATGTAAAAATATACATCACATCACATCACATCACTTCACTTCACTTCACATCAGGTTTGATACCATAATAGAATGTTTGGATAAGTACATAACGAAGGGGTAAATTAGGAGGAAAGAGAAACAGTAATTGGAAACAGAAGAAATCCCAACGATAAGAGAGAAAAGACGATGTTTATAGTCTTTTAATTTGCGAATTGAGATAGCAAATTGCAACTAAATTTAACCAAGTTTAGCAGCCGTAGCATCTACAGATCTGTTTTAAAAATAATGACGAGTAGAAGACTGAAATCAGATGCAATGACTTAAACTAAACTGATTGAACATTCCTATAAAAGGTAACCAAGAGTATAAACGAGGTATAAACAAGAGATATCTGAAATCAAAAATCATATAAGATTCCAGCATGACGTGAAACCGTAAGATATATATATATATGTATATGTATATGTATATGTATATCGTTGACTACCATTAGGCAGAGAGCGATAGAGATACACATCTAGGAATAAACAGTTGTAGGTAATGCATATATAGAATAAGAGTATATATAGAGAGAGAGAGAGAGACATACATCAATGTATTGGATTGAGACCGGTGAGAGACAAATGATAACGAGGAGGAACCCAGAGTGATTATTCTTTTAACAAGACAGTCTAGAGATGTGGTTGGTAGTGCTGTAGTAAGCTGTGCGAGGCAGAGGGAGAGTAGGGAGAGGTCGAGAGAGAGACAGTGAAAGAAGATGAATTAATATCTGGGAGCTCTCCTACAGCAAGGAAAACATCAACATTTTAACTTCAGTTTCAGTGTTTGATAGTGATGAAATGATAGAGAGATATTCTCTCAAGTATCTGTCTCGAGTATCTGTCTCTCTCAGGAATGTGTGCATTAGAGAGAAAACATGAACCTTTGCGATGTTATGTAATTACATGATACAACCACTCTGGACAAGTAGTTTGATACAGGGAGGGAGTAGCTAGAGATACCTTTTGCATCATGTTCCATGATAGGTTTTTTGTAGTATATTTGTGAAGCAAACAGTTTCACACATCATCAAACATTTTTTACACGGAGAGAAACATTGGGTGGGAGGGAGATAAGAATGAGGTGATACTAGAGAAGAGTAACAACTTGAAATAGAATGCATTGCTCTTACAAAGAAACACTCTACAGTTTCTTCGAGCCATGAGAAATTGATGGTATTTATAGATGCTAAAAACACAGACACACACAGACACACTCACATACATACATTTAGATATCTATTTATATAGCTCCAACACGAGTTGTTCCCATACACACACATATATATATATCATAAGTATGAGAGAGATATAGTCTTGAGTTTGTCAAAATCACAAGATTGTTCTTGTAGAGCAGTTTGATTCACAGCAGATAGTGTCTTGGAAGTCTCTTTAGAACCAACCACCAGTGCATCCGTGACCCCAAAAGAAGAAACTAGAAGGTTTCTTATTCCATCACATCACATCAGACCCAAGACAAACTGCCAAGAGAGTAGAGAATAGATTGTTAGCATAACGTTCATTCTAAAGGTTATTTACTTATTGTATCAGTTATCATTAATCATTGATCAAAAACGTCAAGACCCAAGACCCAAGCAACAGTCTAACTGAACTTTTTATTAAACTCAACTAATTATATCACGTCATGGTCATCTTTCTCTATTAAAAATGTAATAACTTTAGTTCTCAGGGGGATGAGCACTATTCTTATGAAATCACATCACATCATATCAACTGTCTATCTATCTGTTTAGTTGTTAGGTTCCCCCTATACTCATGATCTTGATCTTTAGTTGGTTCATCTGATTGTTTCTTGTAGGTTCTTAGTCTTTCTTTGATACTGATAGCTATTTGATGATAACTATCTGGGATATATTGATCATATGCATACATCACTTCCGTTTGGAGATGTAGATGTAGTTGTTGCATGTTGCATCCTCTTGCTCGTGTTCTTGTTCTTGTTCTTGTTCTTGGGGTGCCTGTCTCTTGATGAGTCCAGTTATCTGTCCCATCATTAACCATTTTGTACCGTAACAAAAAGGGTCTCCTCCTTTAATGTTGTGGTGTTTTTGAATACCTTTCTTACTTTACTTGTCTTAGAGTTCAGTTCGCATCGGTGGTATTGTCAGTGGCTGACTACTTTATCGTATTTAAATTATCGTTAGTACTTAAGCTGGAGGCTTATTTTTCTTTTATTAATAATACCCCCCTTGTTACATATTTAATTTACTTTTGGTTTTTGTATTATTAATCTTATATATATATATATATTAAAGTATATATAGATATATAAATATTTCCATATTGTCTATTATTCAGCAAACTAGATATTCAAGGGACTGTTTATAAAGTTACTACTTGGAAAATTAAAGTATTATTGAGTTAGAGTAGAAACTAACCGAAGTTCAGAAACAAATCAACAACACTATTAAATATTAATCATGCAAATATTTGTCAAGACCTTGACTGGTAAGACCATCACCTTGGAAGTCGAGTCCTCTGACACTATCGACAATGTCAAGTCCAAGATTCAAGACAAGGAAGGTATTCCTCCAGACCAACAAAGACTTATCTTCGCTGGTAAGCAGTTAGAGGATGGTAGAACACTTTCCGATTACAACATTCAAAAGGAGTCCACTTTGCATCTAGTGTTGAGACTAAGAGGTGGTATGCAAATATTCGTCAAGACCTTGACTGGTAAGACCATCACCTTGGAAGTCGAGTCCTCTGACACTATCGACAACGTCAAGTCCAAGATTCAAGACAAGGAAGGTATTCCTCCAGACCAACAAAGACTTATCTTCGCTGGTAAGCAGTTAGAGGATGGTAGAACACTTTCCGACTACAACATTCAAAAGGAGTCCACTTTGCATCTAGTGTTGAGACTAAGAGGTGGTATGCAAATATTCGTCAAGACCTTGACTGGTAAGACCATCACCTTGGAAGTCGAGTCCTCTGACACTATCGACAACGTCAAGTCCAAGATTCAAGACAAGGAAGGTATTCCTCCAGACCAACAAAGACTTATCTTCGCTGGTAAGCAGTTAGAGGATGGTAGAACACTTTCCGATTACAACATTCAAAAGGAGTCCACTTTGCATCTAGTGTTGAGACTAAGAGGTGGTATGCAAATATTCGTCAAGACCTTGACTGGTAAGACCATCACCTTGGAAGTCGAGTCCTCTGACACTATCGACAACGTCAAGTCCAAGATTCAAGACAAGGAAGGTATTCCTCCAGACCAACAAAGACTTATCTTCGCTGGTAAGCAGTTAGAGGATGGTAGAACACTTTCCGACTACAACATTCAAAAGGAGTCCACTTTGCATCTAGTGTTGAGACTAAGAGGTGGTATGCAAATATTCGTCAAGACCTTGACTGGTAAGACCATCACCTTGGAAGTCGAGTCCTCTGACACTATCGACAACGTCAAGTCCAAGATTCAAGACAAGGAAGGTATTCCTCCAGACCAACAAAGACTTATCTTCGCTGGTAAGCAGTTAGAGGATGGTAGAACACTTTCCGACTACAACATTCAAAAGGAGTCCACTTTGCATCTAGTGTTGAGACTAAGAGGTGGTATGCAAATATTCGTCAAGACCTTGACTGGTAAGACCATCACCTTGGAAGTCGAGTCCTCTGACACTATCGACAACGTCAAGTCCAAGATTCAAGACAAGGAAGGTATTCCTCCAGACCAACAAAGACTTATCTTCGCTGGTAAGCAGTTAGAGGATGGTAGAACACTTTCCGATTACAACATTCAAAAGGAGTCCACTTTGCATCTAGTGTTGAGACTAAGAGGTGGTATGCAAATATTCGTCAAGACCTTGACTGGTAAGACCATCACCTTGGAAGTCGAGTCCTCTGACACTATTGACAACGTCAAGTCCAAGATTCAAGACAAGGAAGGTATTCCTCCAGACCAACAAAGACTTATCTTCGCTGGTAAGCAGTTAGAGGATGGTAGAACACTTTCCGATTACAACATTCAAAAGGAGTCCACTTTGCATCTAGTGTTGAGATTGAGAGGTGGTAATTAGATTCGATCTCATTTGTATTACTATTACTATATTTGGTATATATTTTCAAAAGTAGATATAGTATGCTTATATAATTGTCAAATTGATTTATTAACTACCCAAAATTTATCTAGTTTATCTTCTATAAAAGCCAATCTAAATATTTTACTTGTTCAAGGATAATGACTTCAATTCAGCCTCAATCCTAGGAGTCAAATCTTGCTCACTAAAGTCAATTAAATTCTTCTCGACCATTAATCTTAAATCCGGAAACTTTGAAATTATGTTACCTGCCAACATTACCATCTTTAACTTCACATTCTCTATATTCTCTGAATTACAATTATGTTCAAAAATGATTTCCCATAATATTCTAAATTCTTCCAATATCTGCGAGGGATATCCATCTTCAGGAAGTAATTCAACTATCTCTGAACCAATTTCACTAGCGGCTAGTTGTGTTCTCCACGTATATAGCACATAATCGTTCTTGTAAAGCAATGATATGTTTTCGACAATGAAGCTCAACAATGATGTTGGATAATTTCCATCATTTTGAATTTTACATAGTTTAGAAGAAGCTCTCAGCAATTTAACTAGAAATTCCTCTTTCTTTATGTTTTCTTTAGATGACTTTTTGCTAATATCATTTGATGTTTTGATTCTTTTAGTTGTTAAATTTCCTGAATTTTCAGCGTCTTCCGCATCTGGCTCATAACCATCAATAATTATTTGAGAAATGGAAATGAACTTAGCTATCAGTTCGTCATTTGAAAAAACACCAAGATAGCTGGCAAAGGGGAATATTACTTTCCTAACATATACTTCATTCTTTCTAGAAACTTCTGTGCATAAAGTTTTGGTTATGGTTTCCTGTAATTCAATATTGCTAATTACGACATCTTTAAATTTCAAAACCAAGGAGACAATGGCATCAGCAACAGCTTCTTTACCATTCCATGATCTTCCTTCAAGTGCCTTAATTATTATACCAAACAAACGAAGAACTTCACTTTCTTTTAATGAAGTATCTACATCTAGACAAAGTCTTGAAACGGATTTAGCACAGGTATGTCTTAGTGAAAAATCTGAAGAGGAAATATTTTTCTCCAATAAGTCCATGATTTCAGGCAAATAAAGTTTAACAGTACCAGTACCAGATGTTGTACCTTCTATCCATATTTCCTTAAAGTAGTTGCCCATTTTCTCTTCAGGGTCATTAGAAGCAATGAAAACTAATGGCATGTAAATACTTGCTAAATTGTTGAATTGGGTATTTGCATACTTTAAGACAGAGTTAATAATTGTTCCTACAACTTTTTTATCTGATATTGAAGAAGATGAAAAATATTTTTCAGCAACCATATTGGCATATTTTATAGCTTTATCTAAGGAAGAAATTCTATTAATATGACCAAAACTTACAGCAAACGCCTCTTTGACAGAATCATTACGATCGTCCATCGCGTTAACACAGCATTTAAGTAGTTTACCACAGAATGGCCCAATAGTTAGCACATATTTTTTGACTAATGTATTTAGAACAATAGATGCTGCAACCTTTGATGGCAATCCTACCGATTTTCTGACTGCCTTGATGGCATTATTTACATGACTCTCCATATTTGAATCATCAGAGTTAATTATCAGTAAATTAATAGCATTAAATAAGGGCGAATTAGAGACAACATTGCTTCTTTGTGCATCGATCATGCTTGAGTCTAACTTGTAGTTTTCAGCATTCAAAGCTAAATAATTAATAGCTTGAGGCTCAATAGATGAAAATAGTAATGTAAACTCGTATACTAATTGTGGTGCAAATTCTTTGATAGATGGCCCCGCATTTTTGACCAAATCTAAGAGAGTCTTCAGAGCCACTGACCTAATATCTTCTGCATCACTGTTTATACCTTTAGATCCTAGTAAGAATGGCAATATTATTTTTAGGGTTTGAGATGAAGCTTCTGGTGTTGCACCATTTTTAATATCAACAGAACGTGCAAGAATTTTTGCAAGTGCAGTTGTCAATTTTGTACCAACTTCTCTCACAGACTCCTTGATATCATCCATAGTTCTAAATGCCATTGTCCAGATATCAATTATCTTGTCTGCAAGTTTTTCTTTCGGTTGAGTCTGAACTAATTGAAGTAGTGCTGATGTGCTTGCTTCACGTACTCTCCATTCTTTATTTGACATGTCGGACAGTAACTCCGATAAAATTGGCTCAAAATAAAAGTTGATTACTGTCGAAGAATCAGGAACTAATGTTTTCCAAATGTCATTCATAGAATTAGAAACCGAAGTATTTGGATCAAAACGGTATCTAAAAAGTTTTGGAATCAATTTTATCCCAATCTTTTCATTCTCAACTAACATTTTATCTAGTGACACTTTTGACATAATTGCACCCAACCCAAAAGCAATACCTTTTCTTGATGACCATAATGCTGAATTTTTTGATAAAGCCATGAATTTGTATACTAAAGAGGGATCTCCAACCTCCGAGGCTAAGTTTAAAATATCCTTGTATGTCCTAACAGAATCATCTCCAATGTTTAATGTCCCATTTTCAAATAATTGTGTTTCATTAGAAACAGACCCAGACGTCATTTTCATTCCACTGGATGTATCCATAAAAGATGTTAATAAACCACTGATCATATCTTCTTTTAAATCTTTACCACCTAGTTCATATACCAAGCTTAAACCTCGAGAAGCAGATTCCTGCACAAATTCATCACGATCACCTAGGAAGCGCAAAAATTTCATGTGGATATCCCTGCAATTTTCTTTAATTATGTTACTAGAACCACAATACTGAACTATGGATAATAGCCATATACATGAAGCTTTTCTCAATGAGGGCTTAGTATTGTCACATGCTTCCATTACCTTTTCTAACACATATTTTTCGTTTTTACCTGGAAAAGCTTTACTCAACTTCTCCAATTGTCCTCCAACGTCAAGTTGTTTTGACAGGAATTTGCTTTCCCAACGACTAGCTAATACAGATAAAGCTTCACCAACTGAGAATAAAAGTTCGACTTGACTTGAAGTATGAGTATCAAATAGTTTCTCAAAAATATTTTCAGTAGTTGAAGTATCTTCTGAATAAATAGAGAGTATACCTATAGCTTCAATTGAAGATTCATCACTTAATAATCTTGGAGATAAAAATTCAATTGATTTTGAAATAAATTGGTCCTTTCTCTCAATTCCAAAATTTAGTAGCACAGAATGTTTAGCGATCTGTGAGATAAATTTTGGAATGTATTTCTTTATCTTAGAATGGTTGAAATTGTTTTCAATTTCGTCAAGTAATGATTCCGCCAATGTACGATATCTTGAGTTTTCTTCTATTGAAAGGATTAACCTAGGAAGAGCATAACTTGCGGTATAAATCAAAGTACACTTATCCATACTTGAAAAATTATTTTCAAGGGATTGTAGTATAAAGTTTAGTTCTGGTGAGTTTGAACATTCAGTAGAAATAATACCTAATGAATTTGCTGCAATATCAAGATCAGTATCATTTCTTTTGTCAATATCCAGTAAATATTCAAAAAGATCCGTTAGTTGTCGATTTAATTCAGATAAAGTTGACCTACTTGAGTACTTCAACAAAAATAAAAGTGTTTGCCCAAATATACTGTCTTCATATTCCGAAAAATATAATTGTTTCCCATCCTGAGTTTTTAAAACAAATTCATTCAATAGAAGAATAATAAACTTCGTATACCAGGGGGATTCCAATTGTATAATATGCTTATAAAGGAGCATATCTATTTTTTCATCAATATCAGCAGCTTTTTCAATACGTAATGACCAATTTTCATCTTGTAAAATAATAGTCGATTCACTGTAAATAGCATTTGAAATAATTGATTGTTTAATGAATCTTGTTGCTGTTCCTAATGTTTTTGATATTGTAAATTTTGATAAACCAATTGAATTTTTCAATTCTTTTAACACTACCTCTACAATTTCTCTTGTGTCTGGAAATTTTGTCTCCTGAATATCAGAAGCTAGAAGATCACTTGTTTTCTTAAATTCTGTTGTATTAGAAGCAGTTGTTACCCTAAACCAATACGGATTCAAACCCTTATGTGCTTCTTCAATAACATCAAACCTGTTAGTACGTGCTGTACCCAAAATATTTAGCAGTCTAGCTTCTGGATCATCAAAATCAAATGCAGCGTTGGCAAATTTAATTGAAATATATCTACATGCCATAACTGAGTCCTTTTTAGATTCGTCCAATAATTCTAATTCATAATCATCTTTTAAAAAATTCTTCAAGATTTTGCGCAATTTTTCTTTAGAATTGCTTGGCAATCTTTTTAAATGTATCGTCAAGGAAGTCAATGCTTCTTGGATACTGCTTATAAACTCAGATAGATCACCTTTCAGAGAATCAAACAGAAATTCAATATAAGACATGTCTTCTACTAATTCAAAGTCCTTTCTTAGAATGTCACCAAGCGTCTCGTATTGTAATCTTCTTTGAAGAATACTTGTATTAAAATTGGGGGTTGAATAACCTATTTGCAATCTTGGCCAACCTTCTGTATGTAAATTATTTCTAATTAGAGATGCTATTGAAGTTGAATAGCCACTTATATTCGAACCACTCTCAGAATTTGAAAGATTTTGATAGTTATATTTTGCTACTAATCTAATAAACTCCAAACAAAGAGATCTCAACTTATAATTTGAAGAATTTAACCCAATAGAGCATATCAATGACACATTGTTCCTATCTTCAGTTGCAACTATACTACTGTTTAATATTGACATTATTCTCTCTTGTAAATCCGGTTTCACTGGAGGAGTACCAGTTGATTTATCACCTATATATAACCTTATTAGGAATGAAATAAAATCATTATCTTCATAAGGAATCGATAACCTTTTCAAGTTCTGTTTTGCAGAGTCAGAAAGATCACTATTATCAGCAGAAACTACACAAAGAAACTTAACTAACACCTCATCCTCAGGGACAAATCCATTTGTTACAAATTTGAATATTGCCGATTTATATTGCAACAGTTGATTTTGAGTGAAACTAACACCTGCATTATAAGTGAAAAAAGAGACATCATTGGAGTTCAAACCTGGACAGGAATAACCTCTTGGGACAATGCCTGATTCTGGATTTGGTTTTGCTGGTATTAAAAGAAAAAATTTTGTGAAATAGGATAATAAAAATTCCAAATCATCTGAATTTTCTAATTTTAAAAAACTTCTTATCTCATCTTCTTCAGGAGAACCTTTCAATGGAGGTTTCCAACTCAATATTAATTTGCATAAAATATGAAATAATCTTGAAGAAGAATTAATTGGCATTAATGAAATACCATCCATTACCTTTGGTATCAATTCCTTCTTAGCATCATTATCCATTCTATCTATCCCCTTTGATACTAACAGTAAACTGTATAATCTTACATTACTTGAGTCTTGATTAGGATCTAAATTTGGGGTTTTCGCTTGTAGTAATAATTTGTCAACAGGTAAAGTCACAGTTTTCAAAGCATTGAATCTAATTAATACATCCTTTATTATATCAAATACAGATTTACGCACACTTTCAAAATTTGAAGATAATTTCAATAGTAATGGTGCCAAAAAAATGTCTAAGGTTTGTTGATACTTTTCTGGAGTGTCAGCCAAAGCAATCCTAAGTTCGACTTTTTCTACCAATTCTTTTTCTTTCTCTTCTGACAATGCCATAATTGATCAATTTTTAACTTAAAAAACAGCCTTGACACTTTTTGGTCCGGATCAGATAACTTTTATTACAAATTGAATCATTAATAAAGGTGGCAAATTAAGTAAATTAAGGTAAGAATTTCTAGTATTTAAAGCTTCAATATTAGAAATCTTGAGTATTAGGATCAAGAAAAAATCATCAAAATTAGTTATTCACGTGATATACACGGGATCAATAGTTTTTCCATTAACAATAGAGAAACCATCCTCCAAACGACAGTAAAATGGGGAATGGATGAATACTGAACATCGATAAGGGGGACAAAGAACAACAAATACACCAAGATTATACATTTAATGTTTATCATATAGCTTTAATCAATTAAAGTTTATTAGATACAGCTTATTATTTTAGGACCGAGATATTAGTGGAAAGACATTTTTTGAAAGGCACTTTATGCAATTGTCAGCATTATCTATTTCAATCGTTTCTTTAAAGAAAGAGATACAACAATGATTGATTTTGGATTATTTCATAATTTATATATTTACAACTTAGCAGAAGGTAATTATATTAATCAGTTAACATACATGCATACATATACATATAGATGACAGTGACGCCTACGTCTTGTTTTATCCCAGTTCCCTAAAATTTAATAAAAAATGACACCAAAAACTAGTTGGGTAAATAAATATCCCTAAACAATAATTATAAGATCTAAAAGTTCAAGCTTTTTTTATATATCAACATTGTATTCAACTTAAATCATTCCTCCTCGATATAGTACAATTATGAGTTGCATCCGGTTTGGTAAATTTCTGGCACTTTAAGATTTGAATATATTGAGTATTTCCAAATATTTTAAATGATAAGTAAGATCTTTTGATGGAGAAGGGATGTGGAAATTAAAAGATGATTGATCTCCTTATCCCATTTCTGTTGTAGTAGTTACAAATTAAAAAAACCAAAAATACTGACAAAAAAAAACAACTGCAACACAAGCAAGTACTAACATATAAAATACTATATAATCATTACTATATATACACACACTTTATCAAATTCTAGTTGCAGTAGAGAAAGAATTCTTGAGGAAATATTTTGATTTTAACAAAAATTTGACAATTCAACCATCCCTAGACTCTAGACCTAACGAGTCATAGGGTTGATACAGGAAAGCATACCAAACAAAATATGTACTAAAGTATATCGAACAGTCTAAGATGTCAAACAAGTGAATAGCTTTATCAAAGTACAAATAACAGTGCTATTTATTGATGCAATTTTTCATCAATACAGAGATATACAGCATAAATTGCGTATGGATAGACGATTAATCCGTTTGAAAAAAAACTAACAATAGTCCAAAGCAAATTTATTTAGAAATTTTCGTAGGACAAAAAAATAAAATCAACAGACAAGAATCGTGTTTATCCGAGGAACGAGTCACATAGTAAGGTTATACTAATCCTAAAAAGTATAATGATGTCTAATTTTAAATGAACAGCAGACTGATTATTTATTTATTTTTCGTATTAGATAGAGTACAACTAACTGTTTGTTTTAAATTAGTATTTTCTTATATATATTGATCAATGCATCTGAATAGGGAGGGAGAGAGAATACGAGACGAGTCTTATTTGAGAATACAACCAACACAATTTTTATTCCACTCAGAGAGTAATGCTGAGAATGTCGGAAAATTTAGGAAAAAGAAAAACAATAGTGGTAGGATCAAATGTTAGTCGTACAATTAACAAAAAACTATTGCCAGAGAGACGCACATAGAGATTTCGAAACGAGAGTTTTGAATGATTGATTAAATCTTGCAATAAAAATAAAAAAAAATTTATACACATACCTTACCATTTAATGTCTAAGTCTTTATATATATATAAGATCTTGATGAGATTAAAAATTTAGTTTACAGTTACTTTTTACTTTTTGAATTCAATTGAGTTATATTTTTGTCGTTGTAACCATGGAGAATGTATTCATTCGTAATTTCTTGTCCTTTGTAATGAACTGACCTAAAATAAAAAAGAATTAATATATATTGTAAACATGTTGAAGAGTGTTGGGATTAATATTAGTAAAAGAAACTTTAGTCAAAATGTTATTTCTTTACAAAAATTGAAAACATTCCAAATTTATAGATGGAATCCTGACACACCATCTGTTAAGCCAAGATTACAAACTTATCAAGTTGATCTTGATAATTGTGGTCCTATGGTCTTAGATGCATTGCTTAAAATCAAAGATGAGCAAGATCCAACTTTGACATTCAGAAGATCCTGTAGAGAAGGTATCTGCGGTTCATGTGCAATGAATATTGGTGGTATCAATACATTAGCATGTATTTGTAAAATAGATACTAATACCAGCAAGAAACAAAAAATTTATCCATTACCACACATGTATGTAGTTAAGGACTTAGTACCTGATTTAACAAATTTTTATCAACAATATAAATCGATTAAGCCATACTTGCAAAGAAAAGAGTTTCCAAAAGACGGTAAGGAAATATTACAAAGTCAAGAAGATAGAGCTAAATTGGATGGGTTATATGAATGTATTCTATGTGCATGCTGTTCTACCTCTTGTCCTTCATATTGGTGGAACCAAGAAGAATATTTAGGTCCATCTGTATTAATGCAAGCATATCGTTGGTTACTAGATTCTAGAGATGAAGCAGGTGCAAGTCGTAAAGAAATGTTGGATAATTCCATGTCATTATATAGATGTCATACAATTATGAATTGTACAAAGACATGTCCAAAGGGGTTGAATCCAGGTGTTGCCATTGCTGAAATCAAGAAAATGTTAGCATTTGAACAATGATCTAAATCTATTTTAAATAGAGTTCGAAACTCTGATTAGAAATAGGCTCGAGCTACATATATTCGGGCACCAAAAAAAAAAGTTTTAAGATTCGATTCGCCTAACAAAATTGTTGATAAAAATACAAACGAACGAAAAAAAAGCCAATCTAAAATACACATAGAGATATTTGTATGTATATACGAATGGATGCTTTATATCTATTATATATATTATTATTATTTATTAGAACAAAAGATTAGTATAAAAAACGTATTAATTATTCTTCAAGAAAATACAGAGATATAAAAAAACAACATTAATGATAACGTATGAAGAATATGTAAAACAATTGAAAGAATTAGATGTGTATAGTACAGTAGCATTTAAGAGAGTAGTCCCATATGTGCTGATACAGCAGCAGCAGAATGAAGACGAATTACTATTAAGATTAAGGGCACCATCAGAAAAATTGGTGGGAGAAATTAATAATGGTAGCAATAAACTCGTAATAATTGATTTAAAGATTAGTTATTCGCATGTATACCAAGAACCGCAACTTTCAATCCAACTTTGGGAAACAAATGGAAGACAAGAGAACCAGGAGGAAGAACAAGTAGACGAAATATATTTGTGGTATCCTAATAATATTAATGAAACACTTGCTATACCTACAAATCTTTTCACTATTGAATTAGACACGGTACCGCGTCCGAGAGTCGAACGGACGACTACAGATAATATTAACAATAGTGGTAGTAAGAAACTTATGTCATCTTCGGCGTGGTATGTAGTTCACAGTTGTGATACTTCTGAGATTGTTGGAACTCCCATACAAAATTATCTTCAGCGATGGGCTAGTGTTTATATCGCTAGCTGGTGGGGAATAGTAAGAACGCCGAACAATTGTTAATATATATTTTTTATATTTTTATTTACTAATTTGATTGTTTCATTTAATTAGATTTTTAATTGGTTTTATTTTTTGGTGAAAGAGAGACAAGATATTGAAATTGGGAATTAGCGGTTCCTTTTAAAATTTAATAACCGGAGACAATGAATGAATGCAGCTAGGCCAGGCAAGGCAAGGCAAGGCAAATAAAGAAATTTATAGTTCGAACTTTTCCTCTTCAATCGATGATGAACCAATCAGCGAGGACCGATCGCGGTGCCGAAGGAGAAGACAATTGCTGGAGTAGTGGGGAAGAAGACCGGAACGGGCAACAAGATTCTCGAAAAGGAAATGTGTGGGGGTGGGGAGGGGGCAGAACGAAAATTGAGGTATAGTTGGGAGTTTTTCAAAAGGAAATATACATCTTACGAAATAGTTTTAATAATAAATGGTATTACTTGAGTTTGTTCAAAACATGCCAATAAGTTAAACAAACAGGACCGAACAGAACAGAAAAGTGCAGAAGGATAAATATAAGAACATGTGTATGTATATATATAAACTTCGAGAATAAGAAACCTTCGTAGAAAACAAAAGAAATCTTCCGTAGAAGATACAATATATCATAATGGATGGACTGGGGAGAACCACAGAGAGGGAGCGAATGGGGGGATTGGGGGAGTGGGGGTGGGAGAAGAAGGAAGGTAAATAAGAGTTAGAGGAAGTATTTCAGAAAGTGACACCTAGGAAGGATTGAAAGAATTGAATTAGAAATTCAAGGAAAGCGTGTTATCTCCGTATGCCGGCTTTTGTTTCTTTTACTTCTCCGTAAGTCTCTCTCTCCCCCATTTCCGGCTCTTGATGTTAGTCTCCTCGGAGTCGGATACAACACGATAAAGCATTTGTGCTACAATTTCTTTCTACCTTAGGCGGGTAACGTCGCAAGACCGTAATACGATGTGGATGAACCGGACCCGTATGGAGTTTTCGGATAGCTTTACTAATTGTTTTTTTCTTTTATTTTTAAGCTTCACAGCTTCTAATAATTTGACGCACAATCGCCTCCCCGTCGGACAATACCCCCCCTCCCTCTCCCTCCCCCCAGCAAAAGAACAGGGCACGACAGCGCGCCCCTCGAAATCACAAGACGAACAAGAAAAAAATGAATTGAATGAAATAACTGTGAAATAACAGTGGAAAACTCCTCTGGTTTTGAGGTTATCCCATTTCGATATCCGATCTTGATTCGCCAATAAAGTACAAGAAAACTCCAAAAGGCAGCTTGAACTCGACAAATTAAACATCTTGCTACTACCACTTTTCGAAATAGGTTAGCCAAAAGCTGGAGAGGGGGCGCTAGGGAGGGAAGGAGAGATGGAGACTAAGGGGAGGCACAATTCCATTTCCAATTTCGATATTTCAATATTTCACTATTTCACTATTTCAATATGGAAATTATAATTTTATAGTTTTTAGCATAACCATCAATGTCAGAAATTCAGTACAACGATGAACTAAAAAAAAAACTTTCTTTCTATTCGATATTTATCTCTCTCTCTCTCTCTCTTTCTGTATTTCTCCTATTTCGAAATAGAATATGGAATGAATTAAACAACACTTTTGTAGTTGTTGTTGTTGTCTTTTAGTTTATTTGTTCCTCCAAGACACTTGTCAAATGATGAGGTGCCATTTTGATATTCAGTTCTACTTGTCTTATTGACCAACTATCGTTATACTTGTACTGTTCTTGTTAGTGATGATGATAATAACAAATTAGTTATATTTTTGTTTTCATTTTTATTATTAAGAGTATTTTGTGGGGGTGGAGTAAAACCTCAACTCAACCAAACCTCATCGTCATTGGAAGGAAATTATTGATTTTTTTTTTTTCTATTCAACCAATATTTCTGTAATTAAGTGGAACAGGATAGAGGAAACTATGAAGAAAGAAAATAAATTATAAAATAAATTCTGGGGTTACTTTCGAAAAAAAAAATTTGTATAAATACTCGAACATGTTTCAATAAAAGACAAACTTTCGATCTCGATAAAATTTAAATCTAAATTAAGTTGCTCTATTAAGATTTTAGTTTGATATTACTTTCCTTTTATCTAATACACCAAAAACAATAATTATAACATTAACAAAATCCCCCAATATATATATATTTTTTGAGATTAAAAAAAATATAATAATATTTAAAACTATTCATATATTCGCATAAAGATGGTTGTCACTGCTTCACCTTTGTTCGACTCATCTTCTGAAAACATCGTTCCTTTAGTAGCTTCTATCGATGTCGGTACTACCTCTTCTCGTGCCATCCTGTTCAACAGATTAGGTCAAGAAGTTGCTAAGCATCAAATCGAATACTCTACTACTGCATCAAAGGACAAAAAGAAAAACCAAAGCCAACAAAAGAGACCAAGTGTCGTTGGTAGTGTGGACATGAAGAAGTCTGTCACTGAAGATCAAATTTTCTCAGCTGAAGGTATTGCCATTAAAGAAAATGAATATTTGAAGATTGAAGAATTAACTGACGATGTAGCCGAACCAACTTTAAGATTCCCACAACCTGGTTGGGTCGAATGTAACCCAATGAACATTTTGACTTATGTCGTCGAATGTTTGGCTACCACTTTTAACACTTTGGACAACTTAAACAAAGAACGTTCAGAAAATAATTTACCATTATACAAAATCACCTGTATGGGTGTAGCAAATATGAGAGAAACCACTTTGGTTTGGTCAAAGAAAACTGGTATGCCAATTGTAGATTACGGTATTGTTTGGAATGATACTCGTAACTCTAAGTTGGTTACAGACAAGAAAAACGCTACCCCAGAAGATGTCCAACAAAGATTAAAGGATAAGACTGGTTTGCCAATTTTCTCTACTTATTTTTCATGTTCTAAACTAAGATGGTTCTTGGATAACGAACCAACTGTCATGGATGCTTATGAAGCTGGTGATTTGATGTTTGGTACTATTGATACCTGGATTCTATATAGTGTCACTCACAACAACGCCTTCGTTTCAGATGTCACTAATGCCAGTCGTACCGGTTTCATGAATTTGGACACTATTGATTATGATGAAGAATTAATCACTTTTTGGAATATTGATCCAAAGAAGATTCATTTACCAAAGATTGTTTCATCTGCTGAATACTATGGTGATTTCAATATTAATGACTGTTTGTATGAAAGATTATCTGAAAATGGTAAAACTTACATTGAAAGACACAGAAAATGTCACCCAAGTATTCCATTACAAGGTTGTCTAGGTGATCAAAGTGCATCTTTGGTTGGTCAAATGGCATTCAAACCAGGTTCTGCTAAGTGTACTTACGGTACTGGTTGTTTCTTACTATTCAACACAGGTACTAAGAAGTTGATCTCAAAACATGGTGCTTTGACCACATTCGGTTATTGGTTCCCATACTTGAATGGTGAAGAACAATCTCAACCACATTTTGCTTTAGAAGGTTCTATTGCTGTCGCTGGTGCCGTTGTCCAATGGTTGAGAGATAACTTAAGAATGTTCCCAAGAGCTGAAGATGTTGGTCCAATGGCCTCCCAAGTCAAAGATTCTGGTGGTGTTGTCTTTGTCCCAGCTTTCTCTGGTTTATTCGCTCCATACTGGGATCAAGATGCTCGTGCTACTATTATGGGTATGTCTCAATATACCACTGCTTCTCATATTGCCAGAGCTGCTGTCGAAGGTGTTTGTTTCCAAGCTAGAGCTATTTTGAAGGCTATGAGTTCTGATGCTTTTGGTGGTGATGGTGACAAAGATTTCTTGGAAGAAGTCTCTGAAGAAGCATATGAACAGTCTCCATTGTCCACTTTGGCTGTTGATGGTGGTATGTCTAGATCTGATGAAGTTATGCAAATTCAAGCTGATATTCTAGGTCCATGTATTAAGATCAGAAGATCCCCAACTCACGAATGTACTGCCTTGGGTGCTGCTATTGCTGCCAACATGGCCTTCAAGGACGAAAAGGACCGTTTGTTGTGGAAAGATCTAAAAGATGTTAAGAAGTGGGTCTACTACGGTGGTCATGAAAAAGGTGATCAAATTGGTGCTGATGAATTGAACTTGAAGGTCTTCGAAAGTGAATCTAGTGATGAAGAAAGAAGATCTCACTGGAAACTATGGGAAGCTGCCATTGAAAGAACCAAGGGTTGGTTATCTGCTACAGAAGGTTTGTAATGACTGTCGCTTCACAATTTTCTGATGTTTCATGAAGTTACGATAATGTCTAATGTGATATTAATTAATTACAATAATGAAAAAATATTTTTTTAATCCAGCATCCAATATAATGGGGATCGAATTAAAACAAACGTTTGTACAAATATTCTTATGATGTATATAAAATCTACTCAATATAATATTCATTTTTCAATTAAATTAAAAACTAGATATTAAGTTAAATATTTGATAACGGTTTATCATACTTAAATGATTACGGACTTAAACATTTATAAAAAGTGTGTCGTCATTTTATGATTTCAACATTATCGAGAGAGTGAAATTCAAAGTGAATCTTTAATGTGACTGTGCAGTGCTTGAAAATATATATACAAGTGCATTAAACATCCATACACTACATAATATATTGATGTAGTTTTTTTAATTTTTAAAATTTCCTTCATTTTTCTTAAAAAAACACAAAATTGGGCTTAAAAAAAAACCTTTTCAAATTCAACACAATCTTTAAAATGAAAAATGTTGAGAAATTGTCGTAGAAATGGCAGAAAATTGTGTTGTTAATTATAAAGTCAAGCAAAAATGTAGTGAAAAATTGAAAAATAATACTAAAATCAAAACCAAGAGACAAATTAGAAATGTTTTTGATGATTCACACAAACTTATTTCTTGACTTATAAGTACTACTTAGTACTTTAAACTAGTGAATTACCTTCAATTAGTGTGTTTATGCTCAAAAGACAAATCAAACAAGAAACCAAACCGGTATATTATCCATATAATTGAATTAAGATGGCTCCAGGTAAGAAAGTTGCTCCAGCTCCATTTGCTGCTAAATCTGCTAAATCAAACAAGACTAAGAATCCATTAACAAATTCTACTCCAAAGAATTTTGGTATTGGTCAAGCTATTCAACCAAAGAGAAATTTGTCCAGATACGTTAAATGGCCTGAATATGTCAGATTACAAAGACAAAAAAAAATCTTGTCCGTTAGATTAAAGGTTCCACCAGCAGTTGCTCAGTTTCAATTTACTTTGGATAGAAACACTGCTTCTGAAACTTTTAAATTATTCAACAAGTACAGACCAGAAACTACTGCTGAAAAGAAGGAAAGATTGACCAAGGAAGCCGCTGCTATTGCTGAAGGTAAGACCAAACAAGAAGCTTCTCCAAAACCATACGCTGTTAAGTTTGGTTTGAACCATGTTGTTTCTTTGATCGAAAATAAGAAGGCTAAATTGGTCTTGATCGCTAATGATGTTGACCCAATTGAATTGGTTGTATTCTTACCAGCTTTGTGTAAGAAGATGGGTGTCCCATACGCCATTGTCAAGGGTAAGGCTAGATTAGGTACTTTGGTTCACCAAAAGACCTCTGCTGTAGCAGCCCTAAGTGAAGTTAGACCTGAAGATGAAGCCGAATTAGCCAAGCTAATAACTTCCATCAACGCTAACTTTGCTGATAAATTTGAAGATGTTAAGAAACATTGGGGTGGTGGTTTAGTTGGTGCTAAAGCTCAAGCAAAATTGGACAAGAGAGCCAAATCTGCTTCTGTTTAAGTTAACTAACTAACAAGAATCATCAATTCCTGTATGCTTTTTTTTCTCTTCATTTTTTTGTTTATGTAGAATTCCAAATTGTTTTGTTGAATCATTTGAATACGTCTCTTCCCCCAAGTTAGACTGAATGTGATATTGAAGTATATTAGGAGAAGAAAAGATTGAATGCTTATAGTGGTTTGTTGAAACATTGGCTGTATCCAGGTACATTGCAAATGTGTTAGAATCATGTTGAATGTGTTTATATCGATTCTTGTAATTGTAATAATAATGATAGTAACGACGACACTTTGTATTGAGGATTTAAGTTGTTTTTTTTTGAAAGATAGTCAATCTATTTTCTTTTCCATTGACGTACTTCGCATATATATTACTTCAAGTATTCAATTGTTACAGAAACACACATGAATATTCCCAACAGTATTATAAATTATACCAGAACAAGTGTATTGAAAGGGGTGTGGGATCGATATCAACTGGATATCAATCTTGTATTGTCTGTCTGTATTCCACAGAAATTATTTTACTCATTTCCATGGGGAGGTAGTATTAGAAACATTGCAATAAAAATACAATAGCTTTTTTTCTTGCAATGCTCCTAATAATGCCTACAATTAATTCTTATGTACTATATATCAATAAGTCAACGTTAGTATAATAAATGACAGATCCCTTAGACCTTTAATGGGCCATACAAAATTATCTTGACTAGAGTGATCTCGGTGGAGTAGCGTCCACCAAGATGTAAGTAATACGTGGACTAATAATATCTATTTATCAATGGAAGCAAGGAAGTATTAGCACTGGTGTTGGGTTATGGAATATGGTTCAGTTAACTTGAGTGTCCCATCTACGTTGTTCCTTGTCCCTTGTGCTTTGCTCTTCCTTCCCCTTCCTTCCTCTTTATCTCCCATCCCCATCCTATTCTGCCTGCCTGCCTGCTTTCTTACCTTTACATAACTTGGTATATATATATATATATAATATAGTCACGTGCATCGTTCCCACAGTAAAGACAAAATGCATCGTCACAGCTCTTTCAACTCTCTCAGTTTAGAATGGATTAAGCATAGCATAGCATTATTAACAACATAGTATAGCATAGTTCAAGCGTATGCTTAGTATGGCGTGGGCATGGGCATGGGCACAGCATGGAAGAGAAGAGCTTAGCCTGCTGATTGTCACGACTGCTACTATATCCTTAGTCACTTTATACGATCATGCAACAATTCAATCAAGTGGCAATCTTCCAAAAAGGGAGCGTCCTGGGAACCCACCCATCCAACCAACAAACAAAACTTTAAACAACTAGGTTTTATATATTAAAACAAGGAACATTTGAGTTGTTTTGGTTTTGAATTATATCTTGTGTAAGTTACAAGTGGTTTATATCGAGTTACTGTTTACTAGAACTGTGTATCCATATTTTTGTATTGCTGTTGCTGTGTGAGGACTCTTATTTTTTGATCCCTTTGCCGTTAAACTACAATATAAGCTGAAATTATTCAAAAGTAAATATATATACTATTTTATAATAGTACAGATTTGAAATTGGTGAATCTCGACGATTACGTTTATTAATTGAGTATTAAGATTATTGAAAAATTGAATTACCATCGTTCTTTTTTCTTTCTTTAAATTCAAGACTAAAGTATTTAGAAAAAAAAATATTAATTAGACAAGGAAAAAAATTTTTATTATTTTTTTTTTGTTTCTTCATTAATTAACCCCCAATATACAATTTCTATTCATTACCATCCCTTCCTTAATTTATATTTGATATTATAATCAAAAAA